TTGACGGGCCCACAAAAAAAAAAAAAAAAAAAAAAAAAAAAAAAAAGAAGACTTTGAAACCCTTGTCTGGACTTATTTCCCAAGCCCTAAAAATACTCTTTTAATGACCCTGTCACACAGAGTGAAAGAAGTGGGGAGACCAAAATTAAAGAGAAATATCTGGAGGAGATTTCCTAGAAATAGGTTCAAGTCACATTTTCAGAACCTGGAAATGGAATGGGTCAAGATTTCCCCTTTTATATGGTTTTCACAGAAAAAGGAACCCACTACATGTGGTAACTTAAACAACAGGATAGCAGCACTTATCATCACATTGATAATTGATACTCATGATGATGCCCAGAAAGACCCTGCATTGTACACTTTTTGAAGACAAATTTACCAATGTCTAGCATTGCTTAATGTTAACTGTGAGGAATGAGAAACCGAAGTAAACATAGATAATTCCAATAACTAATAGGATTTTCTTAGGTTTCCTAGGATTAGATTCCTTTGAAATATATAATCCATAACAATATAAAGTATAAATTAATATTTTTTGTTCAGAGTTTAATAAAAAAATGTAAACATCTGTTACATTGCAAACACTTTTTAGATATCTTGAGAGAAACAGAAGGCTGTGATGATAGTGCCTGGTGCACAGCAGGTGCTCAATATAAGTCAGTTGAATCTGGGTATAGATTTAAGAATTAAAATTAAAAACAATAGCAGCCACCCTCATAGAACTTTTACATTGCTTGAAAAGAAACATCTTCCTTATTTATCAGTGGTTTTCATTCTTTAAAATAATTAAATGTATAGTATAAGCATCAGGTGATGATTTGTGGTATAAATTACCAGATCCTCTTTTTCTTGTTGAGAACCAGAGTTGCTCTTCTTCCCAAAATATGTTGAGCTACTTTAGGGTATGGACTTGGTCTTTGTCACAGTTTTCTAGTACCAAGGTCAGTATTTCTGTATTGTAGATGCTCAGTAAATGCCTGTTGAATGAATAACAAACCAGTATACAGTAACCGAGATGCCATCATCGTGGCTCCTTGAATCATCTCTTCCTGCCAGGTTTATTCCGGAAGTAGCTTTGATCATTGGCTTGTCCAAGACAAAACAAATCAAGTGGCTGATTACTTTCATAAGTAATTAGCTATACTTTCATAAGTGATTAGCCACTGTTGTGCCCAATTAGTGACTTGTTGCTCTCTGTTGAAAGTGTTACTACTTTATACATGGTCATTTGTTGAGTGTTGTTGAACACAGTTTTTATTTGAAGCCTTGTCTCACAAACTAGGTTGACTGGAAAGTTGCTGTCAGAATATCTGTGTATATTGCTTGATAGTTTCCTATTGTGCGTTCATTGTCATGGAAACAAGGGAGAAAAAGAGTGCTGTTGTCAAGAGTGGCACAGATTCATGTATTAAATGAAAGAAATAAAAGTATTAGGTAATGATAATCCTCAAATTAAACAAAAATAAAATGTTAGGACAAACATTATATCACTGATTTGTGAGGGAAGGGGGTAAGAATCAAATAGAAAAAACACCTAACCAACATGCTTACAAAAGCACTGGATGTGATTCTTTGATTCAAATATAAAGCATATTCTCATCGAATCCTACAAAATAAATTGAATATGTTTTGGGTATAAACCATGCACATTGGAGTGATTAGAAAAGGGGAAACTGGGGGTCACATTAATTGGTATTTACTTTGAAATACATTTTGGCTTCTATTCAGTAATTTGCACTTCATATGAATATAATTGGATGCTATATGCCCCAGGTTGTATTTCAGATGAAAATAGGGGAGTCTTGGCAATAAACAGTTGTACCATTTTATCAAATTTCTTAAACTAGATGAAATGTTCACTTGAATAAAGAAAAGAAAGCATTTTATTATTTGAATGATGATGTTTCAAAACATGTAAGAGATATTGGCAGGGAGTTCCGGTCAAGATGGCCGAATAGACAGTTCCCAGCGTCACCGTCTCCCACAAATTTACAACTATAAAAATGTAACATCAGCCAAGCTGGGGCTGCTGGAGGTCAGGGAAGAGGAGGAGAGACCTATGGAGTTCAAAGTGGGAGAAACCATAATGAGAGAAAGAAAAAGCTGCTCTGAGCATTTCGGTCTGTGGCTGCTTTAAGACTCGAGCTGATGAGCGCCTGGAGCAGGAGCCAGCAGAAGCTGCAGCTGTGCCCTT